ATATCAAGAGATTTTTAGTGGCCTCAAATGTGAAAGGTAGTCAAAGACTTTGTACAATCATGAGATATTTATTCAAGATCCAAAACTCCTTGCCATCAATCTTATGGACTTCTTTAGCCATTACCTTTCCAAAACAACCATGGACTACCGTTTCTATAGATTTTATCATAGATCTTTTGATCTCAGATTTGTATGATTTTGTATTTATGGTAGTAGATCATTTTACCATCATGGCACATTTCGTACCATATACAAAATCTATCATAGATGATAAAAATAGCTAAGCTTTTTTTTAACATCTATCGCTATTACAGATTACCTCTAGATATTATATTGGATAGATGATTCAATTTATATTGAGATTTTTGATAATCTTTTTTAAGATTTTAAAGGTATATATTAAGCTCTCTTTGGCTTTTCATTCTCAAATCAATAGACAAACAAAATGGATGAATCAAGTTTTGGAGCAATACTTGAGGTGTACTATCAACTATCATCAAGATGATTGGACAATTCTTTTATCATTAGCAAAGTTTGTGTATAATAATTTAATACATTCTTCCACTCAATAAATACTTTTCTTTACTAATTATAATTATCATCCACAACTTGATACTTTTGACTTATCAAAAGTTGATAATCCTATGGCAAAAGATTTGATAAATCATTTGTCAAAGCTACATACAACAATGAAGGTACAATTAAAGGAAGCTCAAGAATGACAAAAGATTAATAAAAATGCCTATTGTAAGAAAAAACCACAATTCAACATAGGTGATAAGATATGATTACTTTGTCACAATATGAAGACTATTCATCTTTGTGACAAGTTGGACTATTGTAGGCTTAGATCTTTTTCTATTAATGAACAAGTCAATCATGTTGCTTATTGATTATATCTATTAGAGTCTATGAAGATCCACTCTACATTCCACATGACTCTTCTTAAGCCATATAAGACAGTGAATATCTCGGAAAGAAGACAAATGCCACCTCTTCCTATAGAAAGAGATAATAATCAAGAATTTGAGGTGGAAGAAGTCTTAGCTTCAAGGTGGCATCAAAATAGATTGAAAGATCTTATTTATTGGCACAAATATGATATTAATGAATGCACATAAAAGCCAACAAAAAATCTTACAAATACAATAAAGAAAATTTAGGCTTTTCATCAACAACATCCATCCAAACCAAGATAAAGAATAGCAAATCTTTGCTATAGAAGAAACAAGATCTAAGGAAGATAACATTCTATCTTCTATCCTTTTTTATAGCTTCTATATATTTGTGATGCTAAGGAGATGGAGAATCAACAACCAGTCGATTCAATTCAAAAGCTTTCACTTGTTAACTTACCAAACAAGACATTACAATTGTTACAACCTTCAAAACAATGTAATCAAGATGAAGATCCTCTAGAACAATATATCCTTCAAATAGATGGCAAGATACAACATATTTGATATCACAACCTTGAAAGAAAATCTCAATGTTTGGTGATTTTATTAGACATAGAAAAAACTCTTGATAGTGTTTCAAATGTTTTATTTGAAGGAAGTTACAAAGCCTTGAACAAAAATCAAATAATGAGGTGATCTTTATGTCTTAGTATAAGACACTATCGATGGCTGAGAAGACCTATCAACCATCTTCAAAGAAAACAAAGATCAGAGTATGTGGCAAATATAATTTGATGCATCTTGAATTTTATCAACACATGATGACTGCTCCCTATGAAACTCATTCTTAGAGAGGAGGGTAATATCACAAATATACATATGCACTTTAATAAATACCTATATGATTAAATAAAAATAAGTAAAAGTAGATAAAATTAGATTAATTTCATAATATCTTTTAGAGAAGCTTCCTAAAAGCTTCAAAGATATTGTTTTGACTTTACATATGTTTGTAGTTAATTGATAGGTTAGAAACTTAGTCAATAAGTTAATCATGTGTTGATAGCTTGCAAAACAAGCTATCTATATGGCACACATATAAAAAACTTACCTTACAAGTTAAAATATGTGTCTTACAAAATCAACACATTTTGGAGGTCCTATAGGACATCACCACGTAGCTCCTAGTTAAGAATATATATAGAGGCAAGAATAAAGCCTTCTTCACTCTTGTCAATGCCTTTCTAGTCCTTAGTCTTGTTTCAAGACTTTCTAGTCTTCTTATTTTTGGAAATATTCATTCTAGTTCAATATTATATCATCTTTAAGTGACTTTCTAGTTCTTTTCAATGACATGAGAGTATATTGAGGATTTCTTTATTTGAGATTCATGTCCTTGATAAAAAGGCTTTACTCTTGCCTCTATATATACTCTTAATTAGGAATTACATGGCAATATCTTATAGGACCTCCAAAGCATGTTGACTTTACAAAATATGTATCTTAACTTGCAAGGCAAGTTTTTTATATGTATGCCACCTAATTATCTTGTTTTGTAAGCTACCAATACATGATTAACTTATTGATTAATTTTCTAACCTACCAATCAACTACAAATACATATAAAGTCAAAGTAACATCTATAAAGCTTCTAGAAAGCTTCTCTAAAAAAATTTATGAAATAAATCTATTTTTACCTTCTTTTCTTTAATTATATAAGTAAATATCAAAATAAGTATGTATGTTTGTGATACTTATCATTTTTTTTTATCAAAGCCCTTATGTATCGAGCCATCTTAGTTTTTCTTATAGAAAAGTGATAAATTAATTCATCCACTTACAACATCAATTCATCCTATTGTAATCATCATTAAAAAAATGGATTATCTCCAAAAATCATCATTTCAATTATAGCCATCATTCCTTCCACCATCCCCCCCCCCTCTCTCTCCCTCCCCCCTCCCTTCCTTCTTTCCTTATTTCTAGCCCTTGCTTTCTCTATTCCCAACCTTCTTCATTTCAACCTCCTTCATTCTTCTCTTCCATTTTCAACTGTATAAACTTCAATTGAGAGTTCTTCTCAGCAATATTTCAAACTTCATCACATACACATTCTTACCAAGTAAAGCAAAATAGAAAGGATGTCTTCCTTGTTAAAATGCCAACATGCATATATAAAATAAAAAATGGTATAATTTCTTAACACTAGGACTCTTTCAAATAATATTATTTTTTCTTCATCCTAAACTTTGACTTTATGTGATTTTGCTATCTCAAAGTTTTGTGAATCAACATTAAAGATAAATCTTCAAATCTAGATACTAAGTACCAAGATCCTTAAAAAAATAAAAAATAAAAAATAAAAAATCATATGTAATATTGATGATAAAATCTAGTGATAGATTTTGAAAGAAATTAATTCTTATGCATAAGTCAAATAGAAAGAAAGAAGAAAAAAGAAAAAAAGTGACATCAAATTACCTTGTAGAATAATGCTTCAATCATAGAAATTGTACCATTTGAGATAGGTTTAATTGTTCTCTTTGAAAGGCTAAGAACTCTTCAAGTAGAAACAAAAAATTGATGCTCAGTATACATGCACAACTCATTGTTTTTTCTTAGAGTCTTTCTATCTCTCTTGAACATGCAAAATCAAGCCACAATTGTCTAATAATGCAAATTTTTCTCTATACTCTATTGTAGATAAATCACTACAATCTATTTCTCATGCAAATGCTTTCATCTCTTTCTTTTGAAGTGGTTGCATTGCTAGATTGTGGTCCATATATCAAATCTTTGTTTGATCTAAAAACAAGCTTTGAAAAATAAATGCATGTTGATTTCTCAATTTTACTTAGAACAAACACCACTTCACATATAAACCTTCAATTCATAGCCTAAATAAAACCATTTCAGAGTTAACCTCACAAAATCCAAACCCTCTAGATTCAACAAGTTTGAATGCACATTGTAAAAACTTCACCAAGAGCTTATGCAAAATAAAAATGTTCCATGGGAGGGTAGTGGAAGGATAATAAATGCAAAGGTGGCAATTGTTTGGAGGGGAATGAGAGAGAAGGGATGAAAGTTAGGAATGGGAGAAATAAGGAGGGTTAAAATGAAATCTAGGAACGAGGGAGGGAATGGGAGGAGGAAAATGAGGGAAGTTGAGATGAAAAAGGTTGGGAATAGATGGAGTGAGGACTAGGAACAAAGAGATTTAGGATGAAGGCCATGATTGTAATGATGATTATTAGAGATTATCCATTTTTCTAATTATGGTTGTAATAGGATAGATTGATTTAAGAAATGGGTGAATTACTTTGATATTTTTCTTTTTATATTATTATTTGTTGAAAGTGATTGCCATGGAAAATAATTGGGATAAACAAATGAATTGGATTTATAACTTTTGAACATATTGTTAATGTTTTTTTTCTTTTGTTGGACATTTAACCAATATTTCTATCTTAGCACTAAAAGCATTCTAATTCAATGCCCATGATTAGCTAACTTACTATCTCAATTCTAACTCAATTGGTATCAATAGCTCCCTAACAATTTTACAATACAAGTCATAGTTAGAGTGAAAACAACCTATTCCAAGCCATGGTTGTTTGAAAATGGTAGTCTGAAAATTTGGATTGAACTTCCTACATCTTAATTCTGCAGTTAGTTCGTTGGGTCTTCATTTCTCAAGAAAACAGCGTGTCTTGGGCGGATGAAAGACGATCAAAGCTTCATTGCATAACAGGACCTTGCAAACCAAGCAAGTACTCATTCCTGAATATGCATAAAAATATGCGTAGATGGTTCAAGCTCAACGTGTCTTCTTCGTAAGTGTCTAGAGTTGCTTGTTGTCTTCACATTGCCTTTGGTACAAAAGAAGACGTTGGATGCAAGGGCAAGGCAACAACCTACGTCGAATATTTTGACTGATTCAAACCTCAAAATCAAACATTGCATTCATCGCAGCAACATTTAAATACATTCGCAAAGTATCAATCATCGACGTCTAAAATGGACAAAGAATCATTCTTTTGCATTGACAAAACACGCTTGTCAACACCCATAACAAATATCTTGACATATAAAAGCATGTAATCTAATAACACGCATAAGCTTGTTGTAAGGTTTCGGTTAGTATATGAATACAAATCGAGTATTAGTTTGGAGGCGTTTCATTTCAACTCAAAAACTTCATTCCAGCGTCCTGGCTACTTGCCAGGATACCTAAACTACTTCACAACAAGCTGCATCTCACAGTCCAGACACTAGCCGCCTACACGCCCCTCCATCACACTGTCACCTACAACGCACATTCCACAGCTTCCCTGCCCACTGACTCTGGCTGGTTGTGCTCTTTCCGAAAGCTCTGCTGTTAGTAACAAAGGACACACACATGACCAACAACTTCCTTCTACCTCGATCACTTGCAATTCACACTCCAGATCATCCACATCTCCCGGTTTTTCGGAGTATGCCTCTCACAAATCACTACTCCAATACCTACTTCAAGTACTTCCATCATGTTCATATCTAACCGTCACCAACAACCACAGCCCCTTCAAAACTTACCGCAGCGTCACTCTGCAAATGCAAATACCTTGCGAACGCCTCCGTGTGCAAACGCACTCTCACCTTCTGCTTCACATGTCTGATCACACAAAAGCACTAACCTCACATCTATATCATCTATATGCTTCCACCACGCCCTCTCCCCGCTCATGAGATGGGACTGTGCCATCGGATAAAGTAACCAGATAGAGCAAGCAGTACAATCAATACTTTTTTCATGCATAGTTGCTGCATAGACACTCACCGCGCTACTGTGTAAGACAGCTACTCCCTTGCGTCCCTGCCTGACGAAAGAGACCGGAATGTAAGCTGCCACCACATAAGCGGCCATAACAACAAGGAACACCTGCAGCGGCATCAGCTGCACTGCACTCTTTTTGCCCCCACATACTTTTACAATAAACCAGCACCCGGCACCTCAGCCGTCAAAGAATCAGCAGCCAGCAACCACCACAGCTCAGCTCCCACACCATGAATGTGATGTATTCCCACGACCCCACTCAGCACTATCACAGTACCCAAAAGTATGAACATGAACATACCAAGTCAGACTGCTTCTCCAACATGTGCCCGCACTGATCAAAAATACTCGTCTCATACCAGTAAACTTGTCTCAATAACATCTCTCCTACGTGTCTCGTAACAAAATATCACAATGATGCTCGAGTTCCTGCTGGTGTCGAATGTTCCCTCGCTTCTCTCAACTATAAACGGCTCAAATCAGAAGGCAGGACTACCTGCATCATCGCTACATAACAAACACCACACCCAGCGAGACAACCCCTTCCCCGCCCAAATTCAACTGAAATATCACCTTCACAAACTACAAGGATAACGAACCAGAACTGACCAGCAGAACACAATCGCTCTGATGGAATTGTCCACTTCAAACTCAACCAAATCCTGCGCTTATGTCATCACCAACGCGTCCCGCTGGCCATTTCTTCGATTCCCCAGTACCTCATCTTGAGTGTCGTACCAACCTGCACAGGCATTGTGTCCAATAACTGCCCACAGATATGATGCCATATACACACAACAAACCACATTATCACCACCGTCACAAATATATATAATCTACCATGACATCACGCCGCATCTGAAGGAGCTGAAGAAGGACTTCGAGGCTGTTCCCCAGAACCGCTCCGGGCCGGCTCCGGAGAAAGACTGCGCTGCCGAGGGGAGTCGCTCCTTGCTTCAGGGGACGTTTGGCGACGAGGTGGTGAAACGCCACGCTCTGGCGATTCACTGTCCCTGAATACAAACGTCAACAGTGAGCACAGCTCTGAACCAGCAACAAAATTCATCCTACACCACCCACGTTCCTATACTAATCTCAATAATACGCCACCCAAATCTGCACCCATCACTGCATTTCACCACATGTTCTGCTATTCCGTTGCCTTATTCGAGTCCAAGGATCAAACCACGAAACAGCATCCCCTCTCATGAAACTTCTGCGAAAGCCTACAAATCTCACCGTGCAGGTGATGCATTTCCATTTCTAGCTGTCGCCTCTTTTACGGGCTCTTCAGACTCCGACTTCCGAGGGCTGCGACTTATGCTCCTGCTTAAGCTACGACTCATGCTCCGCTTCTCCTGGGGGCTGGGACTTAGCTTCCTTCGAGAGCTTGGTTCTCTCTTAGGGCTGCACCATCGAAATAGTCGTCCCAAGCACACATCAATGCACGTCACACACCACCCAATCGAGGGTCGAGCACAATTATTGTTTCCAGTCCCAACCATTTGCATGCGCTATAGATTCATCCAAGATCGCATGTTCAGCTTCACACCGACACTCTTCACAACAAACTCTCTCCATATTCAGCTATCACCTCGTCACCATGTGGTGCTCAATTACCTGCGCTTGTCAGATGCACTGCGAGATGACCGCTTCACATCTCCACGATCCCGACTCAAGCTCCTGCTGCGACTCAGACTACGACTTGGGCTGCGACGCCTTGAACCACGGCCCCTATCCCTCTCGCGTTCTCTCTCACGGCAATCATCATCGTGATGTCTTGACCGCTCGTAGCGATCACGGCTCCGGCTACGACTCCGACTGCGGCTCCGGTAATGCCTTGTGTACCGATCATCGTCCCTACTGGACCTGCGATCCCAGCTGCATCGATCACGTTAGTGCGAAATCCAAATCTTTCAATCTCGCCAACAATTGCTCCTACTCAGAAGAATGCACCGCAATACTGGCCGTGACAGGAAAAAGGGACGCTACTTCGAACAGTTTGTAAAAAATAAATATTGAATAGTAAATAATAACATGCTGTTGACTCATAGCAACAGACGTGAAACTTGCCAAGATGTGCGTACGAGACAACTAGACTCGTTGTACACATCAAACACAGCATATCCATAAACTGGTGATGAACTAATTTGAATGTTGATGTTGCGCCTGCCCACGATTTCGCACAAAAACTGACACCTCGTACAGAATCTGAACTTACCTCGGACGCTTAGGGCTTCGGCTTGCAGATCTGCTAACTCTCTTCATGCCAGTATCAGTAATCCTTCCTCGTTGGCTGCACAGAGAGGAAAAATAAAGAAATTACATATCCACTTCCAGCAACAGCAAGCGCAGAATGGCTTCGCTGACTAGCACCACAACGTCCCAACGTTCACCAAGCCATCGGTGACCGATCTTGTCCAGAGTCAGATGTGGAAAGACTTTGAACAAAACCTAGGAAGGCCATGGAACCAACGCTAATAAATCGCAACCATGGACACATAAATACAGGATTTGCACCTCAACCCAGGCTACACATCAGACTTTAAAAAATGCTGTTTGCGCCATCACCTGCCAGCTAAGCAAGTCATATACCAACTTGTCTAAACTTCCTGAAGCTGCTGCCACTCCAAAACACTCCACGATTCACAACGCATCTTTCACAAAAACCACCCAAATCTTCACGGCGCACACACAGGGCGCCTCGTACCCTCAACGTCTCGTAGCCCCAAACACCACAACACACATCCTGATCAAAAATGTGAACTCTAACGTGATTGAAAAAAGACCGGGACCCGGAACTCACATCGGCTCATCCTTCCGTCCATACTTAGCAAATTGCACCACAATGTGCCGTCCATCAACTTCCCTACCTGCATCACCGCAGTCGGGATACACTAAATGTCAGACGTGTTCAAGGTATTTGCGTGCTTTCCGTTCTCCTCTCTAATGGCAGTTCATCCTCCATTAACCTACACATTCTTGTTCATCGAGTTGTTACAGAACAATACCTATCACCACATCCATCTAGCCAACTCCTCTACTCACATACACGGGATGCGAATGGATTAGTTACCATCCAGGCGCTCGATGGCCTTCTGAGCTTCATCTGCGTACTTGTACCGGACAAAAGCAAAACCTCGAGACTCTCCAGTCCTGCACATCCAACATGAACCTCAGCAGCGTTCTTGTATACTATTAAACATATACAAGTGTGCGACCAACAATCGATGGAAGAGAGGAAAAACAAAGGAAAGTGCGATGGAAGATATGTGTCCTAATCGTCCCATCGAAACATCCCCTAATCACCCCTACCGTTCTACTCATCTTCCATTCTACGCGTCTTGAACCCACCCTGGTTGCTGCTGGACCTGGTGTAGAACCAATTTAACGGTTCTCACAGACATAAATACTCACAGTGCCTGCTCTAATTGCTTTGGGCTTCTTCTCTACGCGGATTGTCTACTGAAACCAGAGCAGTCGACCCTGATGCGACTTATCAGCCTTCATCCAATCAACTCCGAATTCGAACGAAGTAGTTCGCATCCAGGATGCAGGGGACAGTCAAGTGGGAGAAGGGGAAAAAAAAAAAAAAAAAAAAAAAAAAAAAAAAAAAAAAAAAAAAACTCGAGGATCTCATGAAGTTGATTCCAGCTCGAACTTTACCTGCGATCTCTGGGAATGAAGATGTCTACCACCTTTCCATACCGGTCGAACAAAGGGTAAAGGTCGTCCGCGCTCGTACCTGAACAACGACAAACCACCACTCAGCAACAGAACGAAAGAAATGCACTAGCTGCGACATACTCAAAAAGGAGATATTCCTAAGATCGAATCACCACGCTGAGAGAAGAGATCGTAAGGCCTAGCGCTCAGCAATCCTCCGTTCGCACTTGCTGTTTCACTACTCATCCGCAGCATCTGAAAATTGAAAGGAAAAGACCTATTCCAAGATTTAATACTTAATCCTAGGGAATTCAACAAAGCTCACAGAAATATGGCAATTCGACGAAAATCCTGACGAATTCGACCAATTTCCAGACTGGTGTATTCTCCTATACCCCCTGCCTCTTCCCTCCTCCCCCTGCTCACTCAATTCTTCCAAAACTGAAGCATGCAATCATCACTCGCATCCGCATTGCTACCAACAACAACATCCATAGCTGATGAGCGTGCCGAGTACTGTGTGTTGTGAGACCGCGTCCAACCGCGGCTCTGCGGTTCTTGGCAAGCCCGTACCCAAGCAGATGAAATCGCTGCGGTTGCCTTCCAACCAGCACTAGACATGCGCTACTTCACGACGGCTCTCCCGCATCACTAATCGCCAACATTTCCAACACTCATGCCGATGCTAAACATAATACCAAACAAAACAAAAAAAAAACAACTGGCCGAGTCAAACAGCTGGCGCGACAACTCTACGAGAACGCATTCCACTGCTTAATCCTCAAAACTTCGAGCCTCACAGGAATATCACAAGGACTAGGGAGAGGACGCGAAAGGGGAGCGGGGGGGGGGGGGAGCACGACTAACAAGAAAAATCACGTACGGAAAGTAATGTTGAGCACAAGCAGCGAGTAGGTGTCTCTGATGTCCGGAGGACCAGCCCTCCCGAAATGCGACATGCTTGCTTCAAAGACGAATACCACTCCGGCGCAACACGGTCACGGGGACGGCCGAGAAGAACCGAAACCTGGCTCGAACGATCGCAGTGAATACGAAATTGGCAAAGAGGCGCGTGCAAGAGCAGTGCGGACCGAGGAAAGGGAACCTTTAGAAAGAAAGCAGGTCGGATGTGGAAGCGGCCATAGCAGAGGAGGAGCAGGGGAGGAAAGGCTCGGTTGGTTAACGGAGGGAAGTTCACGAGGCCAGACAGAGCTGCGGGTGCAAAACCCTAACCACCTCGAGGGCCGAGGCTCCAGGGTCCGGCCGTAGGCGAGTGGCGATGGGTTCCAGAAGCTTCACAGGCGTCGCAGCCTCGCTCGCACTCGCTCAAGTCGGGCTGCGCCGTGAGTCAGCCGTCGTCGTCGCCTCAGATATCGATCATTTTCATCTGCTGTTGCTGCCACTGCTGCGAGCGAGCTCGTCAGCGGTGTCCACTTGTTAGTATGTATGTGTGTGAGAAGCGACGACGATGTGTCTGGGTCCCGGGTTCCGAGGTCCCTCCTTCCCTCCATCCCTCATTCGCCGTCTCGCACGCGCCCCCGCTCCCGCCCTTTCCATTGCGTCGTCATCGGTTGCATGAACGCATGTGTCACAGTAGACCGCAGCAGCCTGAACCCTCTCTCCCCTTCTCATCCTCCTTCATACACACACACACACATGGATGCATTCTTTCGCTTCTTCTTCATCATCGTCGTCATCATCATCTTCAACATTAGAAGTGGGTGTTTTCCTATTAAAATTCCTCGTCTCTAACTCATCTACAATCTTCTTCTTCTTCTTCTTCTTCTTGTAAGCCCAAGCATTTCAGTCTTACCCATTTACTTAATCAAACCTTCTCAGCAACAGCAGCAGTCCTCCTCCCCCCCTCCCCCCTTCGCCTCGCTTCTCTTCTCCTCCCTTCTCTCCATCCAGGCTTGCATTCCATTTCCTCCATCTCATCATAATCCCATTCAAGATTGTTTTTCACAGTTGTTGTTTCTTTGTTGATGTACGTGACTCTACAATTTCTTTATGTTACAGAAGACATATTTTAGGTCGTATGTAATCACACTTTGAAGAAATGAAATGAAGTGTGCATCACTCTTGGTTCTTTATGAGCTGTGCATCTTCTCTTTGTGCTTTTGACAAAATAAATAATAAAATTAATTGATGTCTTCCAAAGGCACAAGCTTCTGCATACATGAGAGTAGTTATTGGTGTCAACGATGTATTCAAAGCCTTTTCAAAGCGCAATTGCATTGGTTCTGGATGAGACATTTATTACTTGTATTATGCTTTTGATTCAGTTTGAGTTAATGGGGTTGCATTTCTGATTTGTAGATGACACATTCATCACTTATGTTATTCTTTTATTTGATTTAGTGTGGTTGCATTTCAGATTTGTGAGGGAGACATTCATTCCTTACATCATTTTATACCATTCTACTACATATAAGCAATTCTATAACATATTAATAGAAACAACATTTTCTTTTGAACGAAAGAGATTTTGTTTTTTGAAAACTTATATAGATATTGAAGATTTGTTTTATAAATAATTTTTAGAGTTACTATTAGATAAAAGTAGATAGATTCTATGTTTAGTAATATAATGATTTCATGCATTGCCATCTATTAGAATTTTTCTAGCCTAGTGCGTGCTAGTTTTAAAGCAATGAGTTAGAAAGAAATCTAATTTTATATAACCAAAGGAAGATTTGCATGTACCAATATTAGTTAGAAAGGTTGGTGTAATTGATTAGAAATACTTTCTAGTTATACAAAGTTTAAGGCTTGAATCTTAAAATCAATGGTAACAAAGTTAGAGATTATTCTTGTTCAAAGTTTAGTTTGGATCTAAGTATTGCTCTTCCTTCTTCATTTAGTTCTTTTGTGTTTATTTATTTTCTCCTTATACTCTTAAAGTTGTCTTCTTTTTAGCATTGAGTTTCCAATTTATTTAGGTAGTTATAAGCACATGCATATATACCAAAATAAGACCAAAAAAAAAATTATATTGTAAAAATTTCAAGAAAATGGACAAAATTTTAAAAAATAAAACATAAGATTTCTATCAAAGAAACATTTAGCTTGGATTTTTGAGCACCATCTAAAGTAGATGATTTGTTTTGTAATTTAAGTTTATGATACTCACTCTAATAACATTGAAAATATTGTCAACCTTAAAATCAAATGTTCTTTCTTACAAAAAAGACTTACTCCAACTATTATTATGATAATGTAATAAATCAACAAATGAGATTAGTCTCTTATTCATATGAACATATATCTAAGGTGTTTAGTAGTTTAATCTTTGTTGTTAATTTAATATATTCTTTTGGCTCTAATCCAAGAGTAAGTATAGGTAAGATTGACTATTTAATAGCTTCTAATTGTAGCGTAAATAAATCCAATGGGCACCCATTGGATTTGAGGTCTTAAGATTTGAAATCTCTTTTTAATTTTAAACTCTCAATTTCATGATTAAATTTTAGAGATGCTACTCTAAAATTGAAATCTTTGTAATTACATTGATATATGCATATTTTGATTAAATTATACTTTAAAAGCTCTTTATTTTATTTTTATAGTATTTATTTTTAAAATTTAAAATTTAGATTTAGAATTTGACTTGAAAGAGACTAAAAATATTTATTATTATTTTTTTGTGATTATTTTTTTCTTCAATGTTGTGATACATGGGATCCTTTGATTTCTATATGATAAATATATTTGTCAATTTAATCAAAGCTTATGGAAATAATTGCTTTGTGTTGATGATCTTAATTTATTAATTTTATTTAAGTTGAAGATTATATTTGTTATGGACATCCAAGAAGATGATTTTAAGAATATTTTAAGAATATTTTATTAGATTTTAAAAAGATTTCTAGAAGATTTTAAAAAGTTATTAGAATATTCTAATAAGTTCTAAAAAGTTCTAAAAAGATTAAGGAAGTTGTCTAAGAAGATTCTTAGAGTTGCTTTATCTTCAAGCAACATAGAAACTTCTTGAGAAGCTTCTTAATACCTAGTATATATAGGATTTGGAGTTGAAGAGATCTTCAATCTCAACAACATATCTCTTGGAGTTTTAGTTCATTTCTCTTGGTGTTGATTTTTTATTCATTAGATTTAATCAAGTTTTTATTAATTTTTTTTCTATTCAATTTCTTGTTTGGTCTCTTGTATAGTGTGTCTATGATAGTTTGTAAAGATTGTCTTCTTATCAATACTAGAGCTTGATCCTTCTTCATAGAGAGTGAATTACCTCACTTCTTGAAAGCATCTAAGCATTTTAGAGATTGTAGAATATCCTCTCCTAAATTGATATAATTTGGAAACTCTTCTTTTATTTTTTAGAATAGTTGGAGGTAAAGATGTTAGCATGGTTGAGTCTCCTAAGTCTAAGTTAGATGTTATTATAAACATACTAAACGATTTAGCTTATAGAACTGCTGAAATTGAAGGATTTGTTGCGAGGTTTCAAAGTGATGCAAGCCTTGAAGTAGGTCAATTTGTGATGCTACCACTTTTTCAAGCTTCTACATCCAAGGAGGCAGTAGCACCTATACCTCAATAAAAAAATTTACATATTCAACAACATAAAGAGCTTTGGATTAGACTTTTAAAAAAGTTTGATGGTGCACGCTCAAATTTCAGAAAGTTTGTCAACCAAATTCAATTGGTAACTTTTCTAAAACATGAGTGCTATTCAATAAAAGAATTACAAGTTGGTTTAGTTGAAACTTTACTTACAAGACAAGCCTTATCTTGGTTTGTTCCTTTATTTGAGAAGAGATCTTCAATCTTGAGTAACTTTGAAGCTTTCTTAGAAGCATTTGTGGAGGCATTTGGAAAACGTGATAAGGCCCAATGGATAATAAAAAAGATTTGTTCATTACATCAAGGGTCACGCTTTGCATCAATTTATGCAGTTGATTTTAAGCAATTGGCTTGTGACATCAATTGGAATGAACAAGCTCTTATAAACCAATTCTATTGAGAGCTAAGAAATGATATAAAAGACCTATTATTATTATTATTTGATCTTCAAATATTCAATAAAGCCATCAGCCAAGTTGTGAAGTGCAATAATTGGTTATTTTAATGCCATTAAGATTAACATTCATAGACTTTGATAAAATAACATATTAAAAATTCATATTATGATGCTTCAAAAAATACATTACTTCCACATTTTGGAACTAAGAATATGCAAATTGATGCAATATAATTTAAATTTCTTATAATAGAGAAGAAGAAGTATCAATTTGAACAAGGTCTATGCTTATATTAGTATGAAGAAGGTTATAAATCTAAAAAATTTCCAAAGAAACAACATACGATTACGACTAGAAATGTGATCATTTAAAAAAAAAAACACAAAGAGGCCTAAGTACAATAGGGACTATGCAGCTAAACAATCCAATACTTCAAATTCATCAAGATCCTTTTTTCTTTCTATCTAATCTACCTATTGTTTTATTATAATTTTATTTCTTTGCCTACAAAAACTTCAAATAAATACCTTATTAAATTCAAGAACATCTACTTATTTTTCAAATGAGGAATTTTTTAAACTTCATAAAATTCTTCTAGTACAAAAGTCAAAACCTATACATGTAGAAGTAATAGATGGTTGATCTTTATCTTCAAGAAATGTTAATTATGAGACCATATTGTTAGAAATATCATTTGAAGGCCATAGTAACAAAATAATATTCAATATTATTTGAATCTTGTCTTATTCTATCATGCTAGGACTTTTTTGATTAAAAAGATATAATCCATCTATAGATTGGAAGTGTCATAAGATTTAATTTTCTATAGAATTTCTTTGGATAAAATCTATCAAGAAATCAACAACAAAGCATTTATTTCTAGGAGCAAAGAAGATTCGTAATAAAATTCATAGAAATAGAAGACCATAGTTATTTAGATATCAACAATGGTTGGAAAAGTCCATAGAATAAATGATAAGGAATTTTTAATCTTAAATAAATGTCACATGATTGGACAAAATCTTTCATTACCTTTCACATTTGTGGCCACCAAAAGTCTTTAGATATAAGCTCCAAAGTCTTATTGTATCCAAAATGTTTGGTTGCTAAAAAGTCATGACATGCTTAAAGAATGCATACACATGTGTCAAGAATAAGAACATAATAAAGAAAAATAACAAGTGAGACTTCTCTCAAAGAAAGATGACAAAATAGAAATAACTTGATATATATATTAAGAAAGAAACTAGAATGGCTATTGCCAAAAGCGAAGAAAACTAAAGACCCTTGAAACTAGACTAGAAGCAAGAAAAGAGTTGACAAGAGTGAAGAAGGCTTCACTCTTATTTTTATATATACTATCTAATCAGAGGCTACGTGGTGACGTTCTATAGGACCTTCAATATGTATTGACTTTGTAGGACACATGCCTTGACTTATAAGGCAAGTTTTTTTATATATGGGCCACATAATTAGCTTGGTCTTCAAGCTAACAAT